TATATTTACTTATAGGCAGGTCAATGTTTATAGCAACATATCTCAATGTATCACTATTGTTGTAAATTTTATACTAAATTTTCCTCTGTAAAAATTGAATCAACAATTAATAAAGATCACAATTTGAGAAGTGCCTCGCAAAAAAAAAAAAATATATAATATAATTGAATAAAAATTTTAATAACAACATATAGGAAATGTTATAAAAATATTGATCAGTTTTATCATGTGATAAAATAATCAACCTATAAAATGAAAAAAAAAAAATTTTTTTTTTTTTCTAATCTGTTTCGCATCTCTTTTTTAGTTGCGTAGTTCAGAATGGTAAAAAAAATTTTTTTTTAATATAAACCAGGGATTATCCTGTGAACATGTACCTATTCCTTCGCTTGAAGTTGGATGAAGTACTAGAGCAAACATTCACAAAAACTTGAAAACTAACAAGTTTTTTTTAATGTTTTGCTCAATGACCCAATTATGTTATATTTAGCCGAAGGCTAAACCTTCGAAAAAGGTCGCACCCGCTCCTTACCCTGTCAAGAAAAAGGATGGATCTAAGTCCACAAAAAATCCATTATTTGAGAAGAGACCTCGTAATTTTGGAATAGGTTCGTCACAATCCTTAATTGGCGAATAGGTGTAGTAGACGTCCATGAACTTAACCTGAGCTTTTTTTTTTTTCTATTTAGGACAAGATATTCAACCCAAGCGTGATTTGACCCGCTTTGTTAAATGGCCCGAATACGTACGTTTGCAAAGACAACGCAAGATTCTCAACCAACGTCTTAAAGTTCCTCCTGCCATCAATCAATTTACCAAGACCTTGGAAAAGAGCACTGTTACTACCGTCTTCAAGTTGTTAAACAAGTATCGCCCTGAAACTAAGGCCGAGAAAAAAGAACGCCTCGCTTCCGCCGCCGCTCTCAAGGCAGAGGGAAAGAAGTATGAGCCAAAGAAACCTTATGTTATTAAATATGGCATTAATCATATTACAGCTCTTGTTGAGGCCCAAAAGGCCAAGTTGGTGTTGATTGCCCACGATGTCGACCCTATCGAAATTGTCCTTTGGTTGCCCGCTCTTTGCCGAAAAATGCAAGTGCCTTACGCCATCATCAAGGATAAGGCCCGTTTGGGAACTGTAGTGCATAAAAAGACAGCCACCGCCTTATGTTTTGTCGATATCCGTGACGAAGATAAATCTACATTTTCAAACTTAGTTAACGGAATTAAAATTAACTACAATGAGAAGTTTGAAGAAACTAGGAAACATTGGGGTGGTGGTATCATGGGTGTTAAATCTCAAGCCATGATGCTTAAGAGAGAGAAAAATGCTGGTAGAGAAATCAAAAAAATTGAATAATCTTGACATTGTACACCTGACAAATGTTTCTATTTATCGAGTGATGCTCATATTCGATTTCCTGTATTCCTTGTTAAATATTGAATCATATTCGGATCAATTAGAATTCAGAAATCGCGATTATGATAATAAAAATAATTTTATAAAATTCGCCAATGATTTGGGAACATAATTCGATTTCGATTTGCAGTATTATTAGTTTAGGAGTTACAATTTTGTGTTAGTCTTGCTCGAATAAGCAATCATGATACTTAGATAATAAGGAATCTAATGGTTTAGGTGAAAAATAGAACAATCATTTTTATTAAACTGGGATTACATTAAGATGGATTAACTTAATCAGTATCTTCTATCCATGTTAAATCTTCTTGACCCTTCTTTACTATTGTTTTTCTATTCAAAACTTCTAGTACTTTCTCTCGAACCCCAATCTTACCCTTACGATCTTTCATGAAAAAGTCCACAACTTCTTGTTGGGTCATACTCATAGATCCTGCGTCGGGTGTTTCACCAGTGACTACTTTACGAATCTCTTCTTCTGATGGTAAATTGAATCTCGAAAAAGGATAGTTCTCATATGAAATGTTTTTCAGTAGCTCAAGTTTAGAATTTGAATCGGAAAAATAATAATTTTCTATATCTTGAAGGGTAATATCTTTCAAAGTTGAAGGATCCCATTTAGGCTTTTCTTTTATCTTATCAATCAAAACAGCTTTAACGCCCGTTTTGAAATCTGATTTTTCCTGATAATTAGTCAGATAACAGGTTAAATTTGATGTTTATAAACGGACTACATAAATATAACTAACCAAGAATTTTTGAGCGAGTCCATATTCCATTTTAAAGCAATCCGTTATAACCATTTTCTTTCCCCTTCGTAATTCCATTAGCGTAACCTTGAGTTGTAGCAAATTTTTATAGGCTAGTTGTTTACGCGTTTTATGAAGTACAAAACTTGCTTAAAATAATATAATTTCGAAAATCTCACTTTAAGACTTGTAGGTGACATCAAGGAAATAGTTTCTATCGTTTTTTTTGACCAATCCGTATTTTCTTTTTCCAAAGCATCAATGATCTCCTCAACTGTATCTTTATTGAAGCAACTGTTTCAAATAACCTTCAGGTTAGCCATACGGAGCCCGATTAATAAATCTATTATACCATAATTTACCGATCAATGGACTTTCTGATTTCGCCGCCAAGTGAATATATATGTTTCTCATCACATTCAGCCACAAATTCTTCAATTGCCGCGTTAATTATTTCATGATCATCACTCTCGAGTTCACTCAATCGAACTTCCAAAAGGGGCAATCGATAAGATGGAACATAGTGTGTAGCAATCCCGGAAAAGCTGGAATGAGATACTAAAGTCAACCAACTTGTATCGAAAAATAGATTAAACTAGAAACATACAAAACATCTAATCCCGATAATCTTGCCCCAGTTAGCGCCAAATAAGTTCCAACTTCGCCATCCATTCTCGGTAAAAAAAATGATCCCCCAACATCAGGGAAAAAACCAATTTTTGCTTCTGGCATGGCAAAGATGGTTTCTTCGGTGGCAACACGGAATGGTGCGTGAACAGAAAGGCCAACTCCGCCACCCACTTTACACGCGTAAATAATGAAAAGGGAACAAAGCTATGTGAATGTTTGATTAAAGGCCTTCGACCTCATTTTGCAAAAAAGGTTATGGTGATCACAATTAAACGTACTAGTAATGCCATTTAAAAATGAAACAAAAGGTTTATGGAGTGTGGCGATTAGGTGATTAAGTTGATATTCTTCCTCAAAAAATTTAGCTGCTTCACTAGGTTCTTGATTGATCACGTCTGAAAAAATCAAAGATTGCTTAAAATGATTTTCTTTTCAATATATTAACACAAAAGTAATTATTATTCAATATCGATCATACGTTTAACATCACCTCCAGAACAAAAAAATGTATTTCCGGTAGATTTTAGAATAATAACTTTACAAAGATCTGATTCGTTCCAAACCTAAAAAAATTGAGTTGTAAATTAACCAGAGAATTTGATGTAATGAATCTGTATAATAGTGCAAACCTGTAATTGTGGTGTCATGTTTCGAATCATACTAAGATTCAAAGCATTATAAACTTCTGGTCTATTCAATATGAAAACGCGACTGCCTAATACTCTTCTCTGAATTACATCAGCTTGCGGGGGTTCTCCAAAACCCGGAAGAACTGAAGTGGTAGTTGACATCTGTCAATATAACATTTATTCGGCTTTTGTTGTTACTTTACAAAAGAATTGTTTGATGCTGACTAAGCCCTATAAGTTAAAAAGGTATACGAATTTTAAACCTGTTTTGTTCCAAAATTGTTTTGTTTAAGACCGTTTATCGCTCGTCTATAACGATCTTTTATTGAAAAAAAGGGCTTTATTGCATAATTGAAGCAAACTGCTCGTGTTGTTCGAAGAGTTGATGCCGTTTGCCAATACATGAATATTGCAAAAAAAAATGAATAGGCTACGTAAGTAATCAAATTTTTTAACTTTTTTAATACAAACTATAATTTTTTTTTTTTAAGATAATGAATACAGATTAGATTCAATTTTTTGATGTGCATTATTTTTATATAAAATTTTGCATAATAATTTTTTTTATTAAGATACAATATATATTATATTACATTCAAATTAATATAAAATTATTAATAAAATATATGTTGAAGTTTTATTTTTATTTTTATTTTTTTATTTATTATTATTATTATTATTATTATTGCCTCTAATCAGACTGCAATTTGCTGTGTTTATTAATTTTTTTATAAAAATAAAACAATAATATATTGAATCTTAAGGCATTATATTAAAGCTAAATTATGCATAATGCAGAACACCCATCAATGAATTATTTTTAGATTTGTATGTGATTCTTGAATCCTTAATATCAAAACCATTGTGTTGTCCACATGATTTAGTTATTTACTAACTATTTCATTACAAGAAAGTTGATTTATTAAACTATTACTATGTAATATTAATTATCTTAGACTTTTCAAATCTTAACTCTTTAAGTGTAATCATGAGGAATGATAAAATTGCTTCTTTTTTAAGGTTGCTCCTTGGCCTTGAGAAAAATCATAGCCAGCTTATATTGTAATGTCATCCCAACATGAATCTGTAATCTTAAGAAATAAAAAATTTTATTTTTTTAGAAAATAAAGAAAAATAGAAAGGATAATTGAAAAGTTTGATTTGATAAATAAAAACTTTCCAGTATTAATTTCAATTCATCAAAATAAATTCTTTATCATTACTTGCAGTTGGGCAAACAATTTAATTTTCACTATTTTATTAATATTCAAGTACTTATAACAAGTCTTATAATCTTTAAGAAATTATTATTGCTTGAAACAAGAATTATACCTTAAAAAATTATTTTTTGATGTCTTTTCAAGATAATTAACAATAGAAAAGGCTTGTTACTAAATTGAGATAAGACTTCTTTTAATCTTGAAAAAAAAAGAAACCAGTCCAACAAAAAAGAAAGGAATACTATAATACTTCTTAACAAAAAGAATATCTTATTACCTTACTCTTTTTATTATATCCAATAACATTATTAGATTTTATATTGTGTAAGATAGAATATATGGAAATTATATGTCTTGTTTATATTTCTTGCTATATGTAAATCAACCAGTTCAAAATTCAAGCCAATTGTCATTTGAGGATTCTAGTGTAATCAAAAATTTAGAGTCAAATTGAAGTAAATAAAGTTTTTCAAAAAAACTATAAAAAAGTTTATATACTTGAAAGGATAAAAGAGAGACTTGAGAAAGATAAGAAAAGAGTTTCAAAAGCCTATACCAATCTTTTTTAAAATCTTGATCCTCTAGAAGAAAAGAGAAGTGTGTTTTTTCTACAGGTTTTTTTTCTTAACAAAATGTTTTTGCCTTTGATTTTGTAAATAGATTTTTCTTGTATTTATTCACTGAAATATAGGAAGTTTATATTAAAGAGAGAGAAAAAAGAGACTAAAGCTTTTAGATATTAATGTTGTTAAAAAAAGTTTATAGATTAAGGTTTCGAAAAGTATTGAACTAGTATCAAATTGATATTGAAATAATACCAATATATAGTAAATTTAATATAGAGAACCCTCCCTAAATACATCCTCTCTAAATGCACACCTTCTCTAAATGCACTCTTTTTTATAGTCCCAAGTTGGGTCAATAATGTCAAATGCACCCTCCATATTCTAACAGTGCAATAAATTTTCAGAAACTTTTATATTAAATTAATTCTCTAAATGCACTTTGTATATAATTTGCGAAGTTGGCCAAAATTAATATGACCGGAATTAACATAAAGCTGGGAAAATTAAGCTGACCGACCGGAATTAATATAAAGCCGGGCAAAATTAAGATGACTGACTGGAATTAACATAAAGCCGGGTAAAATTAAAATA